ACGGCTAAAATTAAAAAAAAAATTACTTTAATAATAGGCTCTACAAGTAATTGAGGAAACATTTGCAGACGATCAGGGAAAAACAAATCTTACGTTTCACCCCACTTAGCAATCGATGTGTAGCCTGTGGTGATTCATGTAATTTTCTGACCACAGGAGCTGGTATATTACTCGATCTCGTGCCGGTTTCGTGATTGAAAATTAAGTTTTCTAAGCGAGCTTCCGCTGCCACCTTCTAGAACAACGGCTTCTGTGCCATTGCTGAACAAAAAAGAAGTATAAAAGAGATAAAATAAAGATGAAAATCTAAATACTTTATTTTGAGGTACGCTCTCTGTTGCTGGAGCCGCCAAGGGTTCTACTTTACTGCCAACCATCGTATTTTTCGCAGCTAAAGGAGTGACTTTGTAGCCGGAAGATACTGGAGCTACCATAGCTGGTGTGTTAACTACAGCAGTGGATGGTGCTTGAGTGGGTAAAACAACAAAGGCAGCCTTTGGTGGATTCACTAACGGAGAGACTGCCGGCAAACCGTCTTCGACTTTTCTTTTGGTGCATTGAGCTTGAGTACCGTCTCTGTAATAAAAAAAGGTAAAAAAAATTGCAATTAAATACTGCATTTAGATAACTGATACGACCATAGAAAACCATAAAACCATAAAAAAGGGAAATTAAAAAGCACTTTAAAATAAAGCAAACAAAAAAGCTACTTACTCGTTATATCGTTCAATAGGCTCTTGCTTTGAATCTGCACTAGTCATCGGCACACCAAGTGACGCAGCAACCTGAAATACTTGTAAAGTCTCCAACGTAATTTCAAAATCACTAAAATTGCCAAAAAAACAACAAAATCCCTAAATGCTAAAGGCAGATCCTGTACACAATTTATTTGAACAGAATTAAGCTAATAAGTACATCGAACAAACAGTTTGAGTGTTCAGCGAACATTGTTCTCACCTGTTGCTTAAATTCGCTTCGAATTTGAACCCGGCGATCAACGAGCGTTTGTCGAGGCCCATATCGCTGTGATGGACGACGTTCAAAAGTAGTTGACTGCCGACGTGAAAGTCGTCCGACGTCCTTATGCATATTTTCATATTCAGTCCGACCACTAAACAGCAATATTTGAACTGCAGATTATTTCACAAGATCAAATCTTAGGTACCATTGCCGTTCAAAGAGTGAAGGTTAAAAAAGTTATGTTTGAAAAAACAAATAATGCCAAAAGCCATTTTACCGATATTTAAATGTACTGCCAAGACGAAACAGTGACGATTTTCGTGTTTTTGTTTGGTGAAATTTCAAACGGAAGAATGTGTGATGTTCAATGGCGCACTTCCATAAATGCTTGCAGGCCTTATGCGACGATAAATTAAATACAAATGTATGTAGTTGTACCTGACCACTCTGAAACTAGTATTTAAGAGGTCAGCTCAAAAAAAAAAAGATAAAAGTCTTATGTGCAAGCATAAGTCAGAGCTTCAAAAACTGGAAAAGCGCCGGTATTAATCAGTTCAATAGAATTTTCAGATCAACTCTCTCAGATTAAAAGTTCTTACGCGCTTATAAATCAAAAATGAAAAAACTTTTCTTCTAATTTTTTCTCAAAATCCAGTCCATATATACAGTCATTTGTAATGAATGGTGGAAACAACTAAAGTACCGCCGCATCAGCATCTTCCTCGACAACCAAAGTAAGTTTACGATTTTTGAAGTCGAGTTTTTGTATCTTTTCCCACGAGAACAATCCAATCTTCTGAGTTCCGTCAAAAACAAGGCAACCGACTGGTGTCAACCCAAGTCTGTTGAACGAAAACAATAAAGAAAAAAGAAACGCACAAGTAATATATGTGCTTGGCAATAGAATAAAAAGAGTTACTTTTAAGTTTATGTAATTAAAACAAAAAAAAAGCTCTAAAATTATATGCATCAGACAAAACTGGAACCTGTAAGAGTTTCCATCTTTCCCTTCAACAGTGTGCATATCTACACCATATAACTCAATCCATTTTGCTTTATTAAGATAATTCAATTCTGCAGTTGCTGGAGATTGTCCCCTTAAAATCCGATATTAGCCTCACGTAGATATGTTTAAAAAAGCGAGTAACAAATTTTTTTATTAACACTAAAATAAAAGTAAAGTAAGCGGCAATTAGGCAAAGAATAAAAAAGTAAATCATGAGAAGCAGAAAAAAGCATTTTTATATTAACTGACCGACAAGTCATAAAATGTTCCAAAATTGCCAATTCCATTTCTTCGTTCTGCTCAGGATGGAAACGAAACTCAGATATTAGGGCAGGGGTATGTTCTGCCGGATTATAATCACCCAGTTCTGCTGCAGAATTTCATTTATGTTTTATAATAAACTAAGTAAAGATATATCCAAAGTAAATGTGCTTTTTCCTGCATGTGTGAACCAACAAGTTTTCTGAATCAAAACCATCTAGTCCTACTTACCTTTCAATAGTAAGGTATTAATTTAATGCTTACACTGTAGTGCTAAGGCTGCTAATTCGATTGCCGTTTCCTTCGGACATTCTAATTTGCCTGTTTGAATGTCCTGCTTTAGTTGCAAGAAGAATTGGTACCTAAAGAGTATATCGTTCAGAATTACTTGAACTGCCGTACCTCCTCAAAAATACTCTCTCCTAAACTTATTCTTTACTTTAAAGACAAACCTCGTAAGTTCTTCTCGAAGATTGCTCGGTTCACTGGTATAAAATTTCACATTAAAGCGAAAGGTGTATGGAGGACCTATGGGTACTTGCTTTGAAAGTTTTTTCAATGGGTCAAGCCAATGCTAAAAATAGTTAGTTAAACTAAAAAAAATTTTTTTAAAGAAATGTACACATCAATGACACATAAGGATAGTCGATTACAAGACTACAGTATTCGCCTAGATTCTCGTAAAATTCAATTTTCTGCTAGAAACCGTTTCTTCTACTTCTGGAAAAAGATTTCAACTTTTACAATGCTGTTTAACCAATGTTTACACGAATCCAGTCGTAGTGACTAAAAACATTTGAGTGTACAACTAGTAAAGCACAAAATATTACAGGTATGAGAATATTTGACTACAATACTGCAGACAGACTAAATGTACAGCTTCATCTTAGCACACTAAAACCCTGGTCTACACAGCTCAAAAGACTTTCACAATTACTACAGAATATAAAAGTACAATTCTATTTATTTCAATCTGCAATTGATAAAATAAACAAAAAAAGTTGCTTGCCTGGACGTGGTAATGATCAGTAAACAGCAAACCAAAGTAGTCCCGTTCCTCTAAATCAAGTGTATAAAACACTTGATCATAAACTTCTTGGCCAAGAGCATTTTTCTGCAACACCACCATTTATATTTTTATTCTCAAAGATTTACTGTATAAACTAAAGCATAAAAGTTTTGGTCAGAAATAATCCTAGTTGTATTAGATACGTAAACTGTTTGAGAAATCACCATTTGAAAAATTCCATAAATAAAATAGCAGATTTTTCAATTTAGATATCAAGCGAAAGAAAAAATTGGAATTTGTCCGATATAACCAAATTTGCAGCCATAAAACTGACCGGGACAACGATATTCAAGTCAGTTCCATCTAGCAACATCACCTTACACTGGCAATGCTTTTTCGAATCCATTTCTGGGGCATCGAAACCCTAAAAAACAGGAGCAACTTGAACAACGCACCGATAAATAAACAGCAAAATTAAAGCAAATAAAGTTCCAAAAAAAACATTAATTGAAAGAAAAAAAGACGTGTCCAAAAGTAACACTGTGTTGACAAAGATAGCAAAAATCTGAAGCGTCAAAAAAGCAAAAACTTCAATCAGATCGGCCGCTGCTTGTCAAAACTTGCACATCTTAGCCACCACTTACCAATTCTCAAAAATCATTCCCATTTATTACTGATACATTGAACAAAGCTAAAAAAACTCCTATATCGATAGCTAACAACCAATGACAAAAAGTGTGTTTACAAAACGAAAATTAGTTCCGTTTTTTCCCATTTTTTCTAAGAATAGTAAAAAGGCGATGAAGAAGAATAAGAAGAAGACGAAAACGATGACAAGAAAAAGACCCTGTCTTTTGTAAAATGATTCAACAGTGATGTTAAAGTCAAATAAAATATAGCCTAATTTGAAAGCAAAGAAAAAAAGAGTTAACCTATAAAACATCGTTTAAAAGATGTGAAAGAACAAACAAACAAAAATACCAACAGCCACAACAGCCATATGTGAAGAAGAAAGATTTTAAGAAATATTCATCCGAAAGAAGATTAATAATAAATAATTAATATCAAGATTGTATCCATTCATTTACCTCTGTGTTGATTTTAAACTATTCAGCCATAAAATAAACTTCGCATTATCATTCCAAACTTTATCGATTCAACAATAACATGAAAAACAAAACAAAAAAAAAAAAAAAAAAAAAAGCATAAGATAGTCTTGACTGTTATCATCTCAAGAAATGGAAATGTTCAAAAAAAACCTGCTCTTAGCACAAATTTTTTATCAGCTTCTTAACACTACATATGACACAAAAAAACTGTAAAGAAAGAAGGTAAAATAAAAACAAAGTAAAAACCATTACAATATCAAACGAAAATTGCTTAATTAAATTTGCCGGTAACCTGATGAAGAAAGTAAAAAAAAAATTTGCTAAATATTAATTAAAAAATTCTGCATATATCCCTTTCCTTGATGTTCATTTACAGTTCATTCACCAAATAATCCTATAAAACCAATAACTTATAATCACGGCTGATACTGCTGCTACTACGACCTTTGCTTGAATCGCTTATAGTGAATGTAACTAAGGTAAGATAAGAGAGGGTATAATCTTGAATGCTGTTATATTGTAAGATAATAGTGACTAAGAATAGAAGTAGTGGTTAGTTTCTGTTGCTATTTGATGCTCTTGGAAAAGTAGAAGAAGAAGTTGTTAGTAGTTTATAGTAGCATACCATTTGGTATCCGCTGGTACCCGGTTGCCCATTCGGGCGGCGTTTTGCCGACCGTCTGAACCGTTGACTTATTGAACGAAAAAGGCTTGGCATCGTTTTCTAAATTA